AATTCAATGTTAGCTCGCCAAACTGTAGGGAAACAATTAATGGATCTTCACATCTAAAATGGCCTATTTACTATTCACAATTTCTGCTATCAGACAAAGCCTGCTTGTTTTCCCAAGAAGAAAATGTGCTAAGACTAAATGATAGTCTCAGTGGCGAAGCGAGAAAATCAGTAGAAATGCTTCTTATAACTGCTCGAAACCCCGACAAAATATTTAACATTTTAAAAGAAAAGTACGGAAGACCCGAAGCAACTGTGGAAGAACTACTATCCAAAGCACACCAAATCTCTTCTGTAGAAAGTGCGGAATCGTTTATTAATTTTAATAGTACTGTAAAAAATCTGGCAGCTGCAATTAATGAAGATTTGGCTAACTATATCGATGAGAGACATTTATTAGCAATTTTAGTTAACAAACTACCTCCCCACTTGCTAACACAATGGGGTAGTTACTTGATCGACCACAAAGTAGAAGATCATAAAGAGTCTTTACAAAATTTTTTAAACTGGGTACAACAAATGTCAAAGATGATATCAAGAATTTCATTTGTTTCCAAAAATACCAATCCTACCTTTCACCTCCATGATTCTACTTCTACAAATGGTATAAAATTGGAAGAAAATCTTCTCAAAAATAACGTAGTACCAGTAACTAGAAAAATTTGTAAAATCTGCAAACAAGATGAACATGCATTGGAAAATTGTAATCAGTTCCAGGTTGCGAGTGTAAAAGAACGCTGGAAGATAGTACAAAAATGCAATGCATGCTGCGTCAACATTATGGAAAATGTAAAAGAAAGAAACCATGCGGTGTAAATAATTGCGAAAGGTTTCACCATAGTTCTCTACATAAAACTTATATACCGAGAAATACTGAAATTACGACTCATGTCAAAGAAATAAACCCAAACATTCTATTGAAAATTTTACCTATAAAGATTCGAGGTCCAAATGGTACTTTCGATGTCACAGCCTTATTTGATGAGGGAAGTACTGTAACGCTGATTGAATCTGACACAGCCACGAAAATTGGACTTTATGGACCTACATCGCCCCTTTGTTATAAGTGGACAGGTGAAGTATATCATTTCGAAGATGATTCTCAAATTGTGAAGACCTAAATTGCTGGTAAAAATAATACGAGTTTTTACAAACTTCACAATATCAGAACAATCAAGAATCTTGACCTACCTGTTCAAAAATACAATTTTCCTGCTCTAATAGAACAATTTCCCTTTGTAAAACACGTATCTGAAGATCTTAAAACTATACAAAAGCCGACTTAGCTCATAAGGCAAAATAATGCTCACCTAATTGTTTCTAGGCAAGTAATTCAGCCAACCCCAGTTTCTCCAATCTTATCAAAAACAGAAATTGGATGGACACTTCATGGAACAATTGGAATAAGATAGTGCATTTTCTGTAGGCGCCGAGGAGCACAACAGGTTCAACCAAGAATGTGTCAACTACCTCAGGAGAGACTACTTAAGTACGAGAAACCCTTTTCTGCAACAGGTGTAGAATACTTTGGCCCATTTGTGGTAAAAGTCGGAAGGCGACTTGAAAAACGCTACGGAGTTCTGTTTACATGCCTAACTGTCAGAGCCGTACATATTGAGATAGCTTCGTCCCTAACATCCGATTCTTGTATTATGGCAATATGACGTTTTATATCTAGAAGAGGGCACGTTAAGGTATTCTGGTCTGATAATGGCACAGATTTTCATGGAGCCAACAGAGAGTTAATGCAAGCACTAGATGAACTTAAAGTTACTAAAATTATTGACGAAGTAACCAATAGAGGAATTACATGGAAATTTAATCCACCATTAGCGCCACATATGGGAGGAAGTTGGGAACGCTTGATCAGAAGCTTCAAAATGGCTCTCATGGCTATAATGAAGGATCAACATCCATCTGATGAAGTATTGCATACTTTATTTTGCGAAGTAGAATACATTTTGAATAGTAGACCACTTGGTACTATCTATAGACCCACATGATAAAGTTAGCATATCTCCTAATGATATATTGATTGGACAATCTATAGAAGTAATTGCACCAGGTGTCTCTGAACAGGATATTTCTCTTAAAAAACAGTGGCGCATATCTCAATATCTAGCTGACTTATTTTGGAAACGTTGGTTACGAGAGTACCTTCCAACACTAATAAATCGTTCCAAATGGATTGCCGACCAAACTAATCTTCAACCAGGTGATTTAGTAGTTATTAACGATACCAACTTACCTAGAGGTATGTGGCCATTGGGTGTTATCGAAAAGGTTTATGAAGGTAGCGATAGTGTAGTACGCATAGCCGATGTCCGAACGTCACATGGAATTTATCAAAGGCCTGTCAGAAAGCTGCATCGATTAAATATTCGTGCTAACGAGGAAGTTAGCACTGGGGGGTAGAATGTTACGGAAAATCTTAGTAGTTGAAGTTAATATTATAGTTAGAAATATGTTGCTTACTATATTTCTCAATGTCATGGTATTGTCATGTTTAATTGATAAAAAAAGAAAGTTGTCAAAGTATAAGGTCTATTTTGGCTATAATCTAGAATATTTAACAGGATGATTTCAGAATCTTTTCTGTACTGTCATATCGATTCACAAATATTTGTGGAACTGTTATACCTGACTCGCGCAAAGCGATCGATATAATATGTTGATATATGTTGATATTTTTTCTAGCTAAGTAAATTATCTTATTGTTAAACCATTCACACAAATACCCAGTTCGTGAAATCCAACAAGAACAAGAACGTGGAAACTTGAAATAACTTGTTTAAAGAGCAAATGCGCCGGCATCGCAAACATACAAATTAATACGTGCATAAAGTCAAATCTATAAAAGCGATAAATCTAAGAATGTTTTGTTATTTTAATGAGCCACCGTAATAAATAGTTGTGAGATATTATTTCTACAACCATCTATAAATCTGTTGAGAAATTAATTTGCATTTCAAAATGTTTTAATCTACGTCTGTAAATAAATGCTGGCAGTGCAGTATTAAAATATGGATTTACGTAATCTCCTACTAACCAGTCATTGCCTATATGTCTAATTTGTCCAAACTTTTTTTTTTATTAAAGCTATGAAACCTTCTAGGCTACAATAGCATTTAAATTAATTACATGCTCATCAGAAGAATAAAGATTTAACCAATTTTCATGGACTGGAAAAGCAATACAAGGGTGTCCCAATAAATAGTAGTCCGTTTCCATTTGAAAAAATTGGGTTAGGGTGAATTTAAAATAGGAGATTTTTAAAAAACACATTGTATAGGTAATACATAATTTCTGTGTTACTGAAGGAAAACTTATAGCAAAATAACACAGATCAGCAAAAACCGCACGTTTCTACGATTTGTTTAAAAGTTATAAGCTCTAGAAGTGGGCTACTTTTCATTGGGACACCCTGTATTTAAAACAGCCAACTGTATTAAACCTTTTAGCGTAGTATTCTAAACAAGAGGATGATGGACTACGAGTCTCATGTAACTTTCGTTGTTAATCGCAAAAGCTGGAAAACTACACACAATTGGTGAGGAATTAATTTTGCCGGCAGACAAAGAGTTAATAAAAATTGTTCTTCATAAAACATTAAAAGACATCAAAAAAATTCCCCTCGGTAATAATTCAGTGCAAAGAAGAATGGATGAAATGGCGAAAGATGTTGAAATATCATTATGTGAACACTTAAAGACATGCAAATTTTCCATTTAACTCGATGAATCAACTCTTCCAAATAATAAAGTTCTACTACTGTTATCATACGTTTGATTTATAACAGAAGAAAAAAATTATCAAGCGTTATTATTTGCTAAAAATTTGGAAATTAATACAAAGGGAGAATCTACATATATAAAAAATGTTTCGAGTAAGATATGTGTGGAAAATGTTTGTATTTATTTCATCCTCTAAACATTTTCAGAGGTGATACTGTAAGCTGTACAAGAGAATCGGAAAAGTATGTAATAACTAGACAGGACAGTCATGTGTTGGACACATTAGATTTTTAGTGTAGATGAGATATTGTAGTAACTTTTGATAAAACTTCCTTAGCTTATTTTATAAATTGGTTAAATAGTGACTTGGGCCAGTTTTTCAATTAAAGTTTAAACTGAGTTCAGCAAATAAACTGAGTTTAATTGAAAGATGGTGTATTTCAAATGTAGTTCATGTCTGAACTTAATTTAAACTATCTGAAAAATTGAACTGTCAAAGTTGGGCGTTTAAACTAAGATCAATGTTTTGACAGTGACATAAGTATATTTCACAATTTTTTTTTACAATTTGTGTTCGAAGTAATAAATGAAGATGATGGTGAAATTGCTACACTTCATATTAATCTACCGTGTACCCAAGAGAATATGCAAAGTTTCGTTTGTCTAAGAAAACGACTAACAGAATAATTAACAAAATATAAGGAGGACTTATAGATAATAACATATATAGGCATCCCCACTCGATCATTCACTGTTGGGTTCTAATTAACAGTTCGGTTCCTAAAGTGGCGCTGGGAAATAGTAACAAAGCCTACACAGAACACGAGGCAAAATAACCTTAGCAGTTGAAGCCGATGACACACCAAAAAAAACATATTTTATTTTCTAGAAATAATGTTTTAACCCCTAAAGTCATGGTTCTGTTAACTAGTTAACTATATGATTTGTTTCATCGATATCCTTCTTAATTACCACCACCAAGTAGAGTACATAAGTACAGAAATTAAAATTTACCAATAATTCTTCTTCGTTGCTCGAAAAATTAGTGGTCCGTCAATTTTTTTTCCATTTCGTACAATTTTGTTAATGAATATGTTTTTAAAGTTTTTAAAAACGTCAAATTGACATAGAGCACTCAGTTTTGTCATAAATCCCTCGATTCAGAACTACCAATATAAATTGAACTTAGATCACCTGAACTATGATACTAACATGATTGTAAAACGTTATTGATGGTAATCTCAGTTCTATAATTGATCCAAGTTCAGGCGAACGAAAGTTTAAACTGTGATTGAAAAACTGGCCCTTATTATAGTTATCTACGAATTGTTGCAAGTAATCTACAATCTGATTTTAGTGGAATGAATGAAATCTTTCGATCAGTGTAAATAAAGACAATTATAGGTAATCGCTAAAATGTAAATATAAAGAAATCAAACAAATTGGACTATTCATTACTTTTAATATACCTAATCATTTATAAAAATGACAAAGTTCGTAGCAACCTTTTTAGTTCTTATCAGTGTCTACTATTTTCAGGTAAATACAATTAATTTTTAATAAAATTCCAAGAAAAACTTCAAAGCTACACCAGCCAAATATTTTTACATCTAATCGCAAATGATTACTAGCTTTAAACGGCTATAAAATAGCTCGGCGGTGAAAGAATTGCCTAGTTTACCTCACTTGTTGCTAGGGTTGCCAGATTTACGAAAGTGAAAAGCGTGACAACCGTGATTACAGAGCATCAGGTTTAAATACCAAGCATTTTTTATATAATCAGGTCTATTCTTTATGAAATTTCTAAAAAAAAAGGTCCTCACATTATATTTTTATATAAATCTGGCTTTGAATATTAAAAAACATAGCATTTCATAAAAACAGTGGCATTTGCATGCATAAAAAGCGTGGTATTTTTGTCAAAAGCGGGACATTTTCGTACCGTGACGTTGCGCGTACAAGCAAGTCTAAAAGCGTGGCAAATACGCCTAAAGCGTTACCTCTGGCAACCCTACTTGTTGCACAAAATACTATTATGCAGTTTGTTGTTAATTTCATGATTTTTCATTCTATTTGAATGAAAACGAATGAACCCATTCTTGAAACATGTACTAACGAGTGTTTGTTATTTTAGGTAGCCCCGCTTGCAATTCACTCACCACCAGAACAAGCAGAATGGATTAAAAAGAATACAGAAGCTTGTGCCAAAGAAATAGGTGTTAAAGAAGATCTAGTTCTGAAAGCAAGAAAAGGCGATTTTTCAGATGACAGTACTTTAAAGGAATACGTACTTTGTACTGTTAAAAAATATAAATTTGTAGTAGACGGAAAACTTATTAAAGAAGCTATTAACAAACAATTTATAGTTGCAACAGGCGATAAGGATTTAACAAATAAAACGTTTAATAAATGTTATCAAGAAAAAGATACTCTAGTGAATACAGTTTTTGAAATGGCCAAATGTTATTTTAAGGAAATCCCTATTGCCGTTATATAGGTACCTAATCTAATACTAATTTAAAAATAAATATATGTTTAATAAATTCTTTTCAATTAGTCTTCGATATTTGATTTCGTATTTTAAAGCTGAAGTGATAATTGATAATATTATAGGTACCTACCACTAAAGTCTCAGAAATACTTCGCTCTCTTTATTGTTCAAATGTAAAATGGACGAAACAAAAATTTACTAGATTTTGACATGTCGTAGAGTAATAACATCAGGTTATTATATTAGGTGGCACTGGTGGTAGTTATAAAAATAATTTTGAATTTGTCAATTTGTTAAAAATTTGTAAATTTTGATATTTCAAAAGTTTTTATATGTATTCAATCAAATGGTGATACGATTTAGTGATCAATCAAAAACTTTAATCCTAAACGTAGTGTCCTATTTCAAGAGACGCACATGTATTTACGAGTTTCTTGGAAAGAGGCACAATCAAATGGCTGCAGAAAACTCTCTATAGACTTACTAAATCAACAAATTCTGATACAATGTATGTGAAAATAATGTCTAAAAAAGTAAGCCAACAAAATCGTCACTGTAAGATGTATTTCAGACTTGGTCAGAATAATGTTACCGATACTCAGTGGGATAATTATGTAAGACACACTAAAAACATAATTGTTTCCGATTGGGAAAAATACAAGCAATTAGATGTTTCTGATCTAGAAACAATTATTATTAATTTAGGTACAACGGCAAGTAATGATGAGTCTGAATCAGAGTCTAGTTGTGAAAAAATGATATTGATTAAAAAAATGTGAGTTCTCCTTAGATAAAAGAGACCAGAGATATAACATACATCGGTGTTTAACCTGCGCAAATGTTGCCAATTTCTAAAGAACGGTTAACGGAGTGGGAGAACTGGGTGGAGACCCGAACTCTGTGACAGGGACGGCTTTTGTTTATTAACATCATAATGAAATATTAGATTTACTTAAAAGATTTTTAATGGAATTTTGTATTATGAAATAAGATTAACGTGATTTTTTACTATCAAACAGATGTTACGACATTTTATGTAAAGAGAAGACCTTTTATAGAATATTTCGTTAGCGTTTATTTACTACGGACTTTTCTGCAAGATACTACAGTAAAATGTTGAAATAGAAAATTGTTAATCGAGCAAGAAATGGTACTCATTGCCTACGAGTATTATAAAAAAGCATGTGCGCAGGCGACTACTGCAAATCAAACCTTGTGAGTTGAACATTATAGTTTTTCTACGGCTATCACAAAATATTAAAAATTAGTCAAAATGAGAAAATGCTGTTTTGTATTGTAACCTCAGGAAAAGGTATATTAAAGCTTCTTTAGGAATACTAATTAATATAGAGGATGAGTCACATAAGACTCTAGAAATACATGGCTGATATCAGATAACATTTTAAAATTTAAACCTATTAAAAGTTATTTGCTCGCTAGGGGTCAAAATTAATTATCGATAATTGATAATAATCGATTATTTTCGATCAATCGATTATTTTCAAACAATCTATTTTTTTTTCGTATTTTCGTTATAATCGACTACTTAATTATATTTGAAAAAGCCAATAAACCGATAAATCAGTATTTACGAAAAATAATAAACGACATATCGTTTATTTTAAATAATCGATTATTTTCAAATAATCTATTTTTCTCCGTATTTTCGTTAAAACAGATTATTCGATATTCTTTGAAAAATCGAAAAAATCAATTAATTAATAAGTCGATTAACCGATAAATCGATTTTTCCAAAAAAAAAACCGAATTATCATGTATTTTAAATAATTTATTTAGTTCGTATTTCCTTTAAAATCGATTATTATTACGTTTACCAAACCAATTAATCAGTCAACTTAGACTAAAGTCGATGGTATGCCCGGAAGGTAATACATAATGTGCTACTGCTGATATTGTTCAGTTTTATGCTCAGGGGTGGGTTAAAATAGTGGTTACTTCCTGAGTCATATATATAATTTCAAACTAAACCGTTGATACAACGTACGTTAGCTTGTATGATCATACACGCCGCACAATTTTAAAGAAATAAACAATTATATTCAAAATTGTACTAGTGGTTTGGGTTTCAGCCAAACTACGGTACAAGCGGGTGTTAACTAAATCAAAATATTCATATAACCACACAAAAGTCAATAAATTTATATTTTAAATGGTAATGAGAATCGTAAATAAACAAATAAGCTATCGCGAAGGTATTTGTACTTAGCTGTTGACCTGGGTTCCAGCCAGATCGATCCAGTGACGAAGTGTAGTGCTAGTAGGCCGATTTCCAGCTGTAAAATAGGGAAGATCGAGTCGTTCTCGTGCCGGTTCCAACCAGTATAATCCAAATCGGATGAAAGTATCCTAAAACCAAAACTAGTACCATAGAAATTAGCCAAAGATGTATAGTTAAGATCTCAGGAACAAAACAGGAACCAAAATACGACACAAAAGAAGAAAAAGAAAAGAACCTTAGAATAAATTTAGACAACAATATAACACTTGAAATAAAATAATTATATGCGACTTACCTCGACACAAAGAGGGTTTGACAAAATGGACGATTTCCTTCAAGGTGTTGGTTGGCTCGATTTCGTATGAGCCAGAGTGTGTGATAAAATCCCTTTCGGTGAAATTACACTGCCCAATATAACTATCAGTGATAATTTCTATAATTGTTTGTGCAAATTCAAATCCCGTATAGACGGTAAACCACAAAAATAAGCAAAAATATAAAACTCGCACAAACTCACACTTCTCTTCTCGACTGTTCTCGAAGAAAATATCTGGTGTGCCTTCCTTCTCCCAAAATCAAGATGGCTTAAAACAATGGTACAAACTATTAATTATAATTCGAAAATTCGCACTTAATAAAACCCATTTCAAAAAAACTCGCAATCTAGAAGTTTGAATTCAAATTGGCACTACTGTCCGCGCCGAACTATTCACAGAGATACGTCCTAAATAAGATTTATATCCATCCTTGTCGGCCCATTAAACAAAGCATCTTGTTGGTGAAAACAAAAGATACGTTTCTGAAGTCCTGCAGAAAGATTAGAAGAATGTCTAGTCGCACACAACGGCTGTGACAAGCGACAACGTTCGTTGATAGATATCGAAAATAGTGTATTCGAATTAAATGCGCTTGTTTACAAAGAATATATATGAAACAATGTGTAACTACGATTATAAGTAATATTTAAAAGTGTGCATGACTATGAAAATTATTTACGATGAGAATTGAAGGAATATCACTACAACGATACATTGTAAGTACTTTATTTATTTACGATTTCTAACATGACAAAACTCTTATTTACATTAAAACTTGCCACCAAAAATCCAGATCTTAATATTTAAACGACTAAACAATACTTTTTCTACGACCACTTAGGAAAGTGACACATATCACACTATATAGTCCTATGGAAAGTGCCCTATATCACACGCGTATGAATGAGAATTTACTTTCCACCCGAGTGAGAATATGTTACTTTCCGCAGTAGTTGTCACAAAATGTCAAACACCTAATTTCTATTTTGATCTATGTAATGTCCATATTAATACTAAAATCGATATGATTGTTAAATTATTGAAATCGTTGTAAATTAGATCCTAGATATTTATCTTTAACAATTATTATTAAAATAATGTTTGCTCTTTATTCTGGTTAAATACATAACCGATTAGATCATTCAATTGACACAAGGGCTATTAGCTTAGGTGGTTAGGACGTCGAAGTTATCAACTTTGCCATTTTTCGACCGCGTTCGAATCCTGGCGGGGCAGAATTTTTTTTTAGAAAATATGAAAATTAAATAAATACGATTATTGTTGATTATTTTTTTAAATACATTTTAATTATTATAGTAATAACCTTGGTATTACATTTTTTGATGACACTATTTTGTGGTCGTAGGAAAAATATTGTACATCACTTGTGTGAAAAGTGATTTTCCACACTCGTAATGTAATATACTATTTTAGAATTGTTCCCCACGTGGAAATTAGTCTAGCTTCATAAATTCGTTATATTAGAAAAGATATAAGTATCAACTTGTTACCAGGCCCATGACACTCCCTGGGCGGGAAAAAGACGCGCAGCTTTTACTGCGCTGACGTTTTCGGGATATAACCTATCACTTGTCATAAATCCGGTTAAAAACTCGCTACCATGCGCAGGCAACCCATATTTCGTACACAAATATAAACTTTTCTTTACATTTTATCGAAGTAGTTTTTGTAATACATTCACAGCTTAAAAACGGAAAATTTGTTACTTTGATAGTGGATTTAGATCAAAAATACCCCAAATACATTTCAGTGTGTGTTTTATCCTTATTATTGCTCGTTTTATTTGAGGACATTGGAATAAATAGAGTACTAAAAGTAATCAAGCTAAAAGGACTGATTTATGTTTAATATGTTTTCGTGAAGTATTTCCAACATGCTAGGTACTTGAATGGTTGTAAATTGTACGTGTATAAGTGATAAAAATATCTAGTCTTTGTGCTTTCTTTTTTTTGTTGGTGTCCCAGCCCAGCATTCGTAGCCAGCAGTAGTAGCAAAAACATTAACATTGTCTACATTCAACCCATTTACATGTACATGATTTATCAGCTAAAAGCAGAATACAATATTTCTCTGCAAAATGTAAACAAGGCTACAAGGAAAATTGCTCATTTATAAATTCAACAATTAAATCAAAATATATTATTTTTAAAGGACCTTTATCAACTATTATGTTAATTATAAATATTATAAGTATTTGTAACAAAATAATAGTTGTGTATTAATAAACCTGTGGCTACTCCAAAAAATATATTATTTATTGATTATCGGGTATCAAAAATATATGTACCTATAGAAATTTGTTGAAATGTTCTATTGCACTTAATCTTTTTAATGGGTTCTTATTATAGTTGTAAATAAAAATCAACACTTTTTATCCGTCTATTTAATACTTACAAACGTATGCATATTTTAAGTTGTAAGGATCCATAGCCTCTTAATGTTTTACATTAGAAATAAGACCTGTGATGTCACATTAAATCGTAGAAGAT